ATTATTATATTTAAATATAATTTTATTTTAGAGATTTTAAATTAGATAACTATTTTTTGAAAAAATTACAAAGTATTTAACGAATTATGAAATAAAAAAGTGCGGTCAATTATCCATTTGTAGCAACCCCTTTGGAGGTTGATGTTGGAAGTCCTTCAATTCCACGTATCAACGCCCAAAAATGGCGGCTGAAACCGTAGCTGCTTCTCATCTCCACCGTTACTACCTCTGGAGATGCTGCAACGCCGATGGTCGCCGTCTGCTATTTCAAGCTGCAGCTTCTTCATCCTCATCTTCTTCTCAACCCATGGATATGCACACCAGCAAATCCTACAAACAACTCGGTCAGAATGCATTCTCCTCTCTTTCCTACCCATTTTCAAACCTACAATTTTCACTTTGGAGGTGAAAATGGGTTCTGAACTTTTCAATTAAGTTTGATAACTGTTGTTGCAAATAGGATAGTGTTGGTGTTAAATTTTCAGCCACTTTKCCTGCGACGTATCACGTATGCTTTGTCGATTCTCTATTCACTTGAATCTTYATACCCTTCAATTTACCATTCTTTATGCCGAACTGGAGGCTTGGAAATCGAATGCCATGTTGTCTTAAGGCTCAGTTTTCTTTCAACTTAAGAACCTACTGAAGGAAGTTGTACCATTTGAGTTTGAATGCCTACTTTTAAAGTTCGTAATCACCACTCTGGKGAATTTCTTGGTGTAGGAAAGAGGGTTTATTGTTTGGGTTGTAATTTGAGACCGTATYCAACCATCAAAGTGTATTTGGGCCAGACAAAAATGCCTCTTTAATTTAAGATGGTTTTGTTGTGCCATAGGTGYTTTGTTTCTTGAGGAAATGAGTTGGAATTTTGTTGAACCAGAGACTATGCAAATTGGAAAAATATGTTTAGGTTTGTCTGTACATATGCATAAGCATCATTAGCCCTTCTATATATACCTTGACCATCCATAATTTATGGATATCTATGGGTGGTTCCTCTTGAAAATCTGATGCAGGAGTATATCAGCAAGTACACCATGTTCAAATGTTTTGGAAGCATAATTTGCTGTTTAAAAATAAAGAAATAATACTCTTCACAATGGTGTTTTTTGCAGCTCGCTTCTTTAGCTTGGACCTTTTTGCAAATTAGGATGCTCAGATGGACATGTGGTTGAACCATGATAAACAAGGATGTAATATGTCCCAACTCTTCTCTAGTTTACCTGATTTTTGAAAATGAGGATGCCCACTGTGGACGGACCATGCTAGAMAAGATGTTGGGAGTAGCGTCTATCCCGGATAAAATGAGAGAGGGTGGACTATGGTTGTTTAGGCACGTTTGTAGGAGACAACTATCGGCACTGGTGAGGAGGGTRGAGAGCGCCACGGTCGAGGGTGTGAGGAGGACATGATACGAGAAATTGAGATTAGACATGGYGGCTTTARGCATTTTGAAAGGCATGACCTCATATACGAGTTTGTGAAGACACAGGACTAGGGTAGCCAATTGTGTGTAAAGAATGGTGGTTATTGGGGGTAGGGGAAGGGGTTGGAGAGGTAGTTGAGGTTGGCAATGGTGGGTATCAATGTACTAGGATGGTCGGATAGGCACCAAAMCTGTGGGTAGAGGGAGGGTTAAAGAGTCAACAACTACTTTCGTAGTTTCGTTCTTAGTTAATCTAGTGATCTAGTACCTTATCGTATGCTTTTACTGCTCACACATGCTTTTAGTATCTTACTTGTTACCTTCCTTTCGATTATCCTTACTTGCTTTTCAACCCGTTTATGTTTTTTTYCTCTTTCCTCTATTTCAAACTTTTTTCTAACTTTTAGAACCAAATGTTTCTCGCAAAATCATGCTTTCTAAAACCTTTTTCAATCCAGGGGTCTTTARGTAAGGTTTGCATACATCTTACCCTCCTCAGACCCTACTCCATGTTGGACTCACTGGGTTTGCTTGTTTTGGTTTGGTTTTTGGTCTAAGATCTGGAGTATTTCTGCTCAAAGAAGAAATTCAAAAAGATACAGCGTTCCATTAACCATTTTTAGTGATGATGTGTTTTTGTAGGTATGTTCTCGTTGAGAAAGAAGATAGAAGATTCTGTTAATCGTGCTGAATTGTTGGGTCTGACTGCATTGGAGTTTGAAGAAGCACAACGGATGAAGCAGGAAGAAATGATTCGTGAATATGATTTGTGGGAYGACTTAGCCAAGTCAAGTGAGATCCTTATCAAGTTAGCCGATAGTGCTAAGGTAGTTGATGCTCTCAAAGACCTCACATACAAGGTGATGCTCTTTTCATACCTTTAACATCTTTCTAGCAAACAAAAAAGCATTCTATTCAATGTAATAGATCCAGACACCACATTCAGGTCTATAACCAACTTTCTATGATAAATCCCATGATCATTGTGCAATCATAAGCTGTGTCATATGATTATTTTCTTTCAATTAACTRTAGCTTCTCGTTCTGTTGAATTCACACAACAAAATACTACAACTCTCAATTTWAGTGATTATATTCTGATTTATCTAGGTTGAAGAAGCCAAGCTAATCACAGAGTTGGCKGAGACGGATATTATAAACTATGCACTTCTTAAGCAGGCATATACMGCATCTGTTGATGTGAGTAAGTTCTTGGATAAGTATGAGATGTCCAAACTTCTTAAAGGGCAATACGAATTTGAGGGAGCCTGCATTATGGTAGAAGCGGGATMTGAAGGCGTTCGATCTGAGGTTCATTGAATCATATTTTTCCTTTTAGTTMTCATTTCAGTGCTTCTACTATTTCATATGAACAAAAAAATGTGTATGAAACATTAGATGACTTCATGCATTTCTAGAAAGATATTTATAGCATCGTTATTTGGATCAACTATAAAAAGTCCTGTATCTTTTTKAGAATACTTCAAACACCTGTTGCTTGATAATACATTTTTATCTAGAAAGTACAACACTTGGGGTTTGTTTGGTTGGTTTTTCATTAAGTTCTGTATSGATAAAGCTGTCTGTGTGAATTAATCAGCYTGTATRGATTGGGAAGGTTTTTTGGGAGGGTTTTTCATARATGGACGGAACGTGTTTTTTAATAGGGAGGTGCATGTTTGGAAAAAACCCSGCTTTCTGCATAATGCTCCCCCCTAGAAGCTTACTAGCTTACTGAATAAGCCACWTTTTWTATCATTAAGCCACTACCAAACAATCATGTTTAGTTGACCAAATAAGMTGTGAGTCCCATTAAGCTCATAAAGCTGCTAACAAGCAGGCCCTTACCGCACCCTGTTGGTCTCTAATCATCAAYGACATACCTTGTTCATGCCACTAACAATCTGTCTGATCTTCTTTCTTAGTCTACTAAAATTTATCTACCCAACTTCCAAAATTGAACAGATATGGGCAGAACAACTGGTTGGAATGTATATGAAATGGGCTAAGAAGCAAGGTTTTAAGGGAAGGATGGTTGAGAAGAAATGTGCGTCAAAAACGGGGGGTATCAAGTCTGTAATCATCGAGTTCGAACACAAGCATGCTTATGGCTACCTTTTAGGGGAAAAAGGTACTCACCGCATGATAACCTCTCATCCCGAATCCTTATCTGAGGTATGCTTTCTGGGCCGTTTAAATTAAAAATTGAAGTTGAAATCTATTCGGATACACATTCTCATCTTTATTGCCTTTTGATGTTCTCATCTAAGTTAGTTTTTATATTTTGCAGGTTAGTTCGGCTGCTGTTGATGTGGTGCCTCTGTTCCTTGAAGGAACTCCTGAACTAATTRTTGACGAGGAAGACTTGAAGATCAGCTACCTCTCATTACGTAAAGAAGATGAAGATCGAAAAGGGCCTATAGTTCAAATTCGACATTCTCCAACGGGCTTAACAGTCCAATCATCAGGTAACTACATCACCACTCAGCCAATTTGACTGCATTCACTAAAATAGAAAGACCATGAACTACCTATCTTGATGGTCTATTGAACCATGTGAAAAGTTAGGTATTGTAGCTTTAGGGTATATGGAACCCCTTTGAGTCTCTCTCTCTAAAAGACCTCTTATAAAGAGAGAAAGGAGGTTCCAACATATATAGAAGTTTGATGGTCCATGTTTAGCCGATGTGGGCCACCAACACCCCCCTCAAACGGAGGCAAAAGAGTGTGTTGAGTCCCTAGGTGGTGCTAAGCTCTTATATCATTGTTAGGATATGTAGAACCCCTTTRAATCTTACTTAAAAAGAGCCCTCGTAGAGCTTTGATACTCCATGTCTAGCTGTTGTAGGACTCCAATACACCCCCTCAAATGGAGGCAAATAGTGTGTTCCTAGGTGGTGCTAGAACCCTGCTTTGCTTTGATACCATRTGAGAATATGTGGACCCTTTTGAATCTTTCTCTAAAGGAATATTTATAGAGATATTGAAGGTTCCTACATATATAGAGGTTCATGTCTTAGCTAATTTGGGACTYCAACACACCCTCTCAAACGGAAGCTAGAAGGTGCCCCTAAGAACAGAGGCAATAGTGTGTGTCGAGTCCCTAGGTGGTGATAGACCCTGACTATGATACCATGTTAGGATATGTTGAACCCCTTTAAAATCTCTCTCTAAGAGTGCATTTGGTACATTGGACAAAACAGAACAAAATAAGGATAACAGTTCCACGTTTGGAAGGGCTTTTATGTGGAATAGAGTGGAACATGCGCTTTTCACCCTCACCCCATTGAACAAGATGGAACAAGGTGGAATAGACCTATATTTTACCAATACATCCTCAAAATAAAACTTAGTTCTCTTC